GACCGCTAACTTCGCGAGAGCATAATTCCATAAGTTTTCCATCAAATCTCATAATTTTGGTGTCATTATGATCGGGAAAAGATTCTCTATCTTTTCATAAGAAAAAATTATTATTTTTTTTTTTTTTAAATTTGGCCGACCCTGAGAACGAGTTTCTGAGAGGGCCTGTCGACCCTCAAAGGGTTAAAGCAAGAGGCTTACGACTCCTCTTTTTATCACAGCTAAGCTTAGACACCATCGTCAGTGAGAGCCAACTAGTTAACGAAAGAGTAAACGAGAGAGAGAGAACGAGATACAGAGTTCAGACAATGTAAGAACAAAAACTGAACAGGTAGTGGGCGATCGCTTTGTCAGGTGAAATAAATGCGTATTAATATGTGTCTGCTTTTAGTTCATTCACGTACGTTTGTGAGAGTTAGTAAAACTTTTACCTCACAATATTTTTTTTATTATAATAATAATTACCTCACAATACAAATACTCTTACATTGTGTACAAGTTAGTACAGAATAAACAAACAGCAACACTCCCATTCTCATGCAACACCATTTTTAGAGTGAATGAAGATGATGATATTATTATCATCATAAAAAAGCACTAAACCCACAAGGGTCGTGAATTGCTATATATAGAGTGAAGGCATATGAAAGGAATATTTTTCTACAGTTATCCCCCAGTGTTTGACTAGAGAAAACGTAATTCTTCCGACACTACCTACACAACCGCTTTGTAAACAAATCTCATATTTACGTCAATTTTTATTCTGTGAGCGTATGTATCATGTTTATATGCTATGTAACGTGTTTCTTATATAACTTTGAGGAAAATATCATAGATGGATTAATGAAAATGTCTATATTAATGTAAAATAAGACATTTAATATGCCCAAGAGTGATGATTATTACGTACTATTGGTATCACGAGTAGAGAGAGACTTAGTGATTTTAATGTGTACCTGCACACCAGCACAGTGAGTAAGTATATTTAGGTACAGGTACACATAAGTATAATTATCAGAGTACATATAAATATGCATTAACTGTAAAACACCTGAAATTTTGGAACGTTTCCAGACATAATAGATGTGATCACGGAGAATGTAAACAAACCAGATGGGGCGCACTGTACAGTGGACCCCCGCATAACGCTATTAATCTGTTCCTGAGAGCTCAATGTTATGCGAAATTATCGTTATGCGAATTAATTTTCCCCATAAGAAATAATGGAAATCAAATTAATCCGTGCAAGACACCCAAAAGTATGAAAAAAAAAAAAAATTTACCACATGAAATATTAATTTTAATACACACAAACTTAAGAAAACATGCATAGTTACATGACACTTACCTTTATTAAAGATGTGGTGATGATTGATGGGATGGGAGGAGGGGAGACTGGATGGTTTTAGTGTTTAGAAGGGGAATCCCCTTCCATTAGGACTTGAGGTGTCAAATCCTTTTCCGGGGTTGCTTCCCTTCTTCTTTTAATGCCACTAGGACCAGCTTCAGAGTCACTGGACTTCTGTCGCACAACATATCTGTCCATAGTGACCTGTACCTCTCGTTCCTTTATGACTTAACTAAAGTGTTTCACAACAGTGTCAGTGTAATAGTCACCAGCACGGCTTGCAATAGCTGTCTGAGGGTGATTTTCATCCATGAAGGTTTGCACTTCAAGCCACTTTGCACAGATTTCCTTAATCTTTGAAGTAGGCAACTTCTTCAATTTCTCTCTCCCCTCCTCCGAAGCAATTTCCTCAGGTGTGGCCTCTTGCTGTTGAAGTTGATCTAGCAGCTCATCAGTGGTTAGTTCTTCATTGTCCTCCTCCACCAACTCTTCCACATCCTCCCCACTAACCTCCAGCCCCAAGGACTTCCCCAATGCCACAATTGATTCCTCAACTGGCATACTTCTCTCAGGGTTAGCCTCAAATCCTTCAAAATCCCTTTGGTCTACACATTCTGGCCACAGTTTCTTCCAAGCAGAGTTCAAGGTCCTCTTAGTCACTCCTTCCCAAGCCTTACCTATAAGGTTTATACAATTGAGGATATTAAAGTGCTCTCTCCAAAACTCTCTTAGAGTCAATTGAGTTTCTGAGGTCACTACAAAGCACCTTTCAAGCAGAGCTTTTGTGTACAGTTTTTTGAAGTTTGCAATAACCTGCTGGTCCATGGGCTGCAAGAGAGGAGTGGTATTAGGAGGCAAAAACTTCACCTTAATGAAACTCATGTCCCCACAAAGGCGCTCTGCCAAGTCTGTAGGATGACCAGGGGCATTGTCTAACACCAAGAGGCACTTAAGGTCTAATTTCTTTTCAATTAGGTAATTTTTCACAGTGGGGGCAAATGCTTGGTGAAACCAGTCATAGAAAAAGTTCCTAGTGACCCATGCCTTATTGTTTGCCCTCCACAGCACACACAAATTAGCCTTGAGGATATTCATTTGCCTGAACGCTCTGGGAGTTTCAGAGTGATACACTAATAAAGGCTTCACTTTGCAATCACCACTAGCATTGGTACACATGAGAAGAGTAAGCCTGTCTTTCATAGGCTTATGTCCTGGGAGTGCCTTTTCCTCCTCAGTAATGTAGGTCCTGCTTAGCATTTTCTTCCAAAACAGGCCTGTTTCGTCACAATTAAACACTTGTTCAGGTTTTAGTCCTTCACTGTCTATGTACTCCTTGAATTCCTGCACATATTTTTCAGCTGCTTTTTGGTCCAAACTGGCAGCCTCACCATGCCTTATCACACTATGTGTGCCACTACGCCTCTTAAATCTCTCAAACCAACCTTTGCTGCCCTTAAATTCACTCGCATCACCACTAGTTGCAGGTATTTTTCTAATTAAATCCTCATGCAACTTCCTAGCCTTTTCACTTATGATCGCTTGAGAGATTTTATCGCCTGCTATCTGTTTTTCATTTATCCACACCAATAACAGCCTCTCAACATCTTCTATCACTTGCTATCTCTGTTTCAAAAGCACAGTTAAACCTTTGGCAAGAACAGCTTCCTTGATTGCTGTTCTCTTGGACACAAGAGTAACGATGGTTGATTGGGGTTTACTATACAACCTGGCCAGCTCGGAGACATGCACTCCACTTTCATACTTAGCAATGATCTCTTTCTTCATCTCCATAGTAATTCTCACCCTTATTCCTGTAGGGTTGGCACTAGAAGCTTTCTTGGGGCCCATGGTCACTTATTTTTCAGGTGAAATCACTATAAAAAGGCTGTAATAATACGAAATGTTCCGATTGTATGCTTGAATGTTACCGCGGAGGCTGGCTTGTAAACAATGGCACTGGCAGAACAAGTGAGGCTGGCTCAGGTCGCATGGACGCGTCTCGGACGAATCGCGTTGAGCGAATTTTTTAGCACTATGCGAGGCAAAATTTTAGTTATAAAATGTATCGCTATGCGGATTTAACGCTATGCGATGCCAACGTTTTGCGGGGGTCCACTGTATTTTAAAGACCGCTTGCCGTATAGCAAATTTTGGTCATAATTTGACATCGCCGTATTAGCGAAACACCGTAAGGCGAAATGCCGTTAAGCGGGGCCCTACTGTAACTGTATCTCATAAATGTATAACCTGTGGCCGTATCAAACTATGTTTTTTTTAATTACATTACCTAATAGAATACTCCATTCTCTTGAATACACAGTAACTCATCTAATGACCACATGACCTGTTTCTGCACTACAAATCATTGATTTGATTTGATTTGATCGGATTATATTATACATTGTTATGCTACAAATTTTTCACTATAAAGCTTCTTATTTGAAATACTCGTTTGTACTTCATGTTGTAATTTGTTTACTGTAATTTTTACCACTGAATATATCATTGCTTAGTTAATCTTAAGTTACTTTTAAGCCTGCCCATAATGCTCTGCATACAAGGGGCTTTTGGCATGTACACCCAATCACTATATTTCTTTGTACAACTATGTATCATGTCCAAATAAAAATAAATAAATAAATAATAATGTAGGTATGTAGTCTGCCTGGGCTACATACCTACACCTACCTACATAGCTACATGATATTTATTGTGGCCCAGAGCCATATTATTACCATCGACATACCATGTTCACTGAGTGTAATCGTTTCTGTCAGCTACCTTTTGATGCCATCATAAACAAAGGGAGAAGTAGTGAATAATTCATGCCGAGAATTGTAAACGAAAACATTATGTATTAAGGGGAGTGACGTAATGTTTTTCCTCTGCCCGGCTACCACACCTCCATAGTATATAAACATAAAACGTTAATATGCTATGTAATGTGTTTCTTATATAATTTTGAAGAAAATATAATAGATGAATTAATAAAAATGCTATATTAATGTAAAATAAGACATTTAATTTGCCCAAGAGTTATTATTAGTATTAAGTAATGTTTTCCCTCTGCCCGGCAACCACCCCTCCATAACATAAAAACATAAAATGTTTATATACTATGTAACGTGTTTCATATATAATTTTGAAGAAAATATCGTAGATAAATTAATAAAAATGTCTATATTACATAAAATAAGATATTTATTGTGCCAAAGAGTGATTATTATTACATAATAGAGATGTGTGCTCATTGAGAATGTAAACAAACTAGGTGGTGCTCGCCGCATTTGAAAGACCGCTTACCATATAGAAAGTTTTGGTCATAATTTGAAATTGCCACGTTAGTGGAACGCCGTAAAGTGGGGCCTTTCTGTTCTAGAAAGAGAGTCAAGATTAATTAAACAGAAATGGCATGTATCTAAACATAATGCATAATAATACTAATATGTAGAAATAAAGATCATTATAAGTACATGTACAAGGTATACAGGCCTAGCTGGCATCAGTGACATACTACTGTATAGAAAGCTCCTTGTTATGCAGAGCATTGCAGGCAAATTAAGTCAGTTTTGTCCCCAGGATTTGACCCACACCAATTGACTAACACCAATTGTAGAGAAATTTCTTGTTATCTGTTAACTACTATCCACAGCAACATATGGTGAAAGTGAAACAGTGGTTTGATGATGAAGGATGGCTTGGGAAGCAAGATTCAAAATTGCGCAAGTTGCTGCGAGAATCCTGCTGGGATCTGCTGCAAGTCCTTGGCTATAATTGTCAGTGCCCACTCCTCTTACTGACTCTTGAATTAATGTTCACCACAAAGGCTGGATTTAACAAGGTGAGCTGCTAAGTGTACAAACCCTAGAGCACTGTGAAATGGCCCATGAAGGTTTAGTGCATTTTGTTAACATGAAAAAAATCAATTGTAGAATCTCCTTTAGGAATATAACATCTGCCTTACAATGAAGTGGTGAGTGGCCCAATTACCTTCATTGTTTTCATAAAAATTCAGTTGGTTTTCTGTCTGTCTTTGTGTGTCTGCCTTTGTGTGTGTCTGCCTTTGTGTGTTAGTTACCATTTTGTCCTAGGTACATGTCGATTAAACACTAGGCCTGTGTATATGCTTTATGTGTGTGTACTCACCTAATTGTGTTTGCAGGGGTCGAGCCAGCTCCTGTCTGTGTGTGTGTGTGTGTGTGGGTGTGTGTGGGTGTTAGTTACCATTTTGTCCTAGGCACATGTGTGTACTCACCTATTTGTACTCACCTATTTGTGGTTGCAGGGGTCGAGTCACAGCTCCTGGCCCCGCCTCTTTGCTGATTGCTACTAGGTCCTCTCTCTCCCTGCCCCATGAGCTCTATCATACCTCGCCTTAAAACTATGTATGGTTCCTGCCTCCACCACATCACTTTCTAGGCTATTCCATGGCCTGACTGATGCTTCTATTCTCCTTGTATCCCATCTACCTTTTACTCTCAGTGTAGCTACAACTAGAAAGTGATCTGATATATCTGTGGCCCCTATATAAACATGTACATCCTGAAGTCTACTCAACAGTCTTTTATCTACCAATACATAATCCAACAAACTACTGTCATTTCACCCTACATCATATCTTGTATACTTATTTATCCTCTTTTTCTTAAAATATGTATTACCTATAACTAAACCCCTTTCTATACAAAGTTCAATCAAAGGGCTCCCATTATCATTTACACCTGGCACCCCAAACTTACCTACCACACCCTCTCTAAAAGTTTCTCCTACTTTAGCATTCAGGTCCCCTACCACAATTACTCTCTCACTTGGTTCAAAGGCTCCTATACATTAACTTAACATCTCCCAAAATCTCTCTCTCTCCTCTGCATTCCTCTCTTTTCCAGGTGCATACACGCTTATTATGACCCACTTCTCGCATCCAACCTTTACTTTAATCCACATAATTCTTGAATTTACACATTCATATTCTCTTTTCTCCTTCCATAACTGATCATTTAACATTACTGCTACCCCTTCCTTTGCTCTAACTCTCTCAGATACTCCAGATTTAATCCCATTTATTTCCCCCCACTGAAACTCTCCTACCCCCTTCAGCTTTGTTTCGCTTAGGGCCAGGACATCCAACTTCTTTTCATTCATAACATCAGCAATCATCTGTTTCTTGTCATCCGCACTACATCCACGCACATTTAAGCATCCCAGTTTTATAAAGTTTTTCTTCTTCTCTTTTTTAGTAAATGTCTACAGGAGAAGGGGTTACTAGCCCATTGCTCCCGGCATTTTAGTCGCCTCATACAACACGCATGGCTTACGGAGGAAAGATTCTTTTCCACTTCCCCATGGACAATAGAAGAAATAAAGAAGAACAAGAGCTATTTAGAAAAAGGAGAAAAACCTAGATCTTTCTTTCTTTCAACACACCGGCCGTATCCCACCGAGGCGGGGTGGCCCAAAAGGAAAAACAAAAGTTTCTCCTTTTACATTTAGTAATATATACAGCAGAAGGGGTTACTAGCCCCTTGCTCCCGGCATTTTAGTCGCCTCTTACAACACGCATGGCTTATGGAGGAAGAATTCTGTTCCACTTCCCCATGGAGATAAGAAGAAATAAACAAGAACAAGAACTAGAAACAAAATAGAAGAAAACCCAGAGGGGTGTGTATATATATGCTTGTACATGTATGTGTAGTGTTACCTAAGTGTAAGTAGAAGTAGCAAGACGTACCTGAAATCTTGCATGTTCATGAGACAGAAAAATGGACACCAGCAATCCTACCATCATGTAAAACTATTACAGGCTTTCGTTTTACACTCACTTGGCAGGACGGTAGTACCTCCCTGGGTGGTTGCTGTCTACCAACCTACTACCTAGGAAAAACCTAGATGTATGTATATATATTTATCATGTGCGTGTCTGTGAAGTGTGACCAAAGTGTAAGTAGGAGTAGCAAGATATCCCTGTTATCTAGCGTGTTTATGAGACAGAAAAAGAAACCAGCAATCCTACCATCATGCAAAACAGTTACAGGTTTTTGTTTCACAGTCATCTGGCAGGATGGTAGTACTTCCCTGGGTGGTTGCTGTCTACCAACCTACTACCAACCTACTACAGTATGGCCATCTATTTACATATAAATACTGAATTTCTGGAAAATATATACAGTATTTTCCACACTCCAGATCATAAAGGACCAAACGAGAGTTACTGTACCAGAGTCAGAAATAAAGGAAGCCAGGTTACTAGGATCCCATGGTAGAAAGTGTTATGCTTAGATTCCACTCACATGACAGGAAAAAAGACTTAATTATTGCATCTATTAAAGTAAAGAAAGAGGTATACATGAACAAGTGTCTCGCCAAATAACGTCAGAACGGGCCACTCTACTTTGGTGGGAAATGTCCAATGTGTTAATAAAAAAATATATGCACGCTCATTTTATATACACATTTTTCTTTTTCATAAACTCGTGTGCCTTTATTTATACGTCATGTACACATGCACATGTATTTGTATTATATGCACATTCACATGTGCTTCTATATGTGCCATTCACACTTTCATAGGTGTTTGTTTATATGTTGTGTTTATATATTTCTGTGTACTTATCTCTTCATTCTTCTAAACATGACTTTCTTTTCTTTTCAGATAGTGACGGTGGTACCAAATACCTTTTGTGCCACCTTAAATAATTTTCTTTTGAAACTTCAACCTTTTGGAATAGAAAAACTTTACACAGTTAATTTACAGTTTGATTGCCCATCTATTGTGGTTACTATATGTAAAAATTCTCCATTAATTAAGTGGATTTATCTGAGAATAGAATTTGTCAAAGGGGATATTTTAAGGGAAATTGGACATGCTGCTCCTAGCATTGAAACAGTTATTGTTGCTGTCAGAGAAGATGAAATATTTGAGGAAATATCATCTACTGTTGAAATTGTGATTGATGGTGGGGAGGGTCTGGAAGATAGTTTATACACAGGCTTTTTTGATGGCCTAGACAAAGATGCTGTCAATCTTAAAATTCAGAATGGGGAAGGTTTTAAAATGACTTTCCCAAAATTAAAGTATGTAGATGTAGGAATTCATAGAGATGTACGGGACTTTTTGCATCACCTCTTATACATATACCCGGATATAAGAAGCATCATGTGTGATTCAGAAGACTGGGTTCTGAGCAAGTATTCTCTCAATTTTCCGTTTGCATCACCTTCATATCTGGGTGCTGGTCCAAAGTCCTTACAAGAGAAAGTAGTCGAGTATAATCTTCGTGAAATGAGCTTTACGTCATTTTGCCTCTGTTCAAAATTACACGATATTACTAGATTCAAAAAGTTAGAGCACATTAGTTTACATTTGTTGAGAGGCCCATGGAAAATTAAACATACCAGTGAAAATGCAGAAGAACTTCTTTCTCGAATTAGTTGCCAATATTTGACTATTTTTGTTGATGTTTACATGAGTAATGATGATTTATTAGGTTTATACACACCATCACTGCAGAGAGTTGGATCATCTCTGAAAATATTACAGTTTCATCTTACTAATGAGGTGAATGTCAAGGTTTTATGTCAGCTCATCAATATGTGCCAGTCCTTAGAGGAGCTGGCACTTGTAACATCCTGTGAGAGATGTGAGGTTGAAGGTGAGGCCACTGACAGGATAGATCTTTGCCAGTTAACAAGGTTGAAATGTCTTAGTATCTCCAGTCACTACAATGTCACTGATGCTCTGTACTTGTTGTCACACAAACTTATCTGTTCTTCAACAAATCTAACAACTTTGGAGCTTGAGCTTGGTGGGCGAATTGTAACAGAATGGCTGATGGAGATTGTCACAAGTGGGGCTCTGGCAGGACTGAAAATCTTTCATTTAAATTTGCCTGGTTACAGTTTTGATAAGTTGATAATAAGCAACTTTTTCATTCCTTTGATAAGTGCTTTACCTCATCTTTCATGCTTGATGCTGGGCAATGTTTGTTACTGCATTATCCAGGCATTAAGGGAAAGATACAGATGGTCAAAGTTGACAATCATTTCTAGGACTTCATCATATGTGGCATTCAGAAGTCTCACTTGCCGATGCTGTTAGATACAGCTCACTTTACAGAGCATGTGTGCATTATCCTCAGTTATAAACATTAATTGTTTCTCAGCTAGAGTAAATGTTTTAATATAAATTAGTCAGTGAAACAAACTGAAACATAATTGAAGTTCAATCTCCAATTTGTGGATTACTTGTGAAGAATGCAATGTATACAGCTTGTGTCTGTGTTGAAATTGTGAATTAGGGCTGTGTTTTCCTAAGAAACTATATTAAATTTAATTGTAGGAGATGCCTAGCATCAGCCAGTAGGCTTACTGCAGTGTTTCTCACTCCTAGTATGAATTGCCTGGCATAGGGTAGCAGGCCAACTGCAGGGTTTACCTAACATGGGCCAATAGGTCAGCTGCAGTACGTACTCCTCTAATCTTATGTCTGGTGATATTTCTGAGGAAAGATTGTCAGGCTGGTTCATTATGTACACTACAGTGGACCCCCGCATAACGATCACCTCCGAATGCGACCAATTATGTAAGTGTATTTATGTAAGTGTGTTTGTACGTGTATGTTTGGGGGTTTGAAATGGACTAATCTACTTCACAATATTCCTTATGGGAACAAATTCAGTCAGTACTGGCACCTGAACATACTTCTGGAGTGAAAAAATATCGTTAACCGGGGGTCCACTGTATACCCTGTGTAATAATTGAAAGAACACATGACTGATTTATAATAGCATTCCTTTTACTTCGTATATTTTCACCCTTTGCAAGATAGTAGGTTGGTAGACAGCAGCCACCCAGGGAGGTACTACCGTCCTGCCAAGCCAGCGTAAAATGGAAGCCTGAAATTGTTTTACATGATGGTAGGATTGCTAGTGTCTTTTTTGCCTCATAAACATGCAAGGCTTCAGGTATGTTTTGCTGCTACTACTTAAACTTAAGTCATACTATACGTACATGCATGTACAAGCATATATACACACACCCCTCTGGGTTTTCTTCTGTTTTTCTTACTAGTTCTTGTCCATGTTTATTTTCTCTTAACTCCATGGGAAAGTGGAACAGAATTCTTCCTCCATAAGCCATGCATGTTATAAAAGGTGACTAAAATGCTGGGAGCAAGAGGCTAGTAACCCCTTCTCCTATATACAGTGGACCCCCGCATACCGATTTTAATCCGTGCAAGAGGGGTAATTGTTATGCGAAATAATTGGTATGCGAATGAATTTTCCCCATAAGAAATAATGGAAATCAAATTAATCCATGCAAGACACCCAAAAGTATGAAAAAAATTTTTTTTTTACCACATGAAATGTTAATTTTAGTACACACAAACTGAAAAAGGCATGCACACTTACATGACACTTACTTTTATTGAAGATCTGGTGATGATTGATGGGATGGGAGGAGGGGAGAGGAGAGTGTTAGTGTTTTAGAAGGGGAATCCCCTTCCATTAAGACTTGGGGGGTTGTCGGTCCTTTTCTGGGGTTACTTCCCTTCTTCTTTTAATGCCACTAGGCCCCAGCTTCAGAGTCACTGGACTTCTTTCGCACAACATATCTGTCCATAGTGGCCTGTACCTCTCGTTCCTTTATGACTTCCCTAAAGTGTTTCACAACATTGTCAGTGTAATAATCACCAGCCGGCTTGCAATAGCTGTGTGAGGGGATTTTCATCAAAAAGGTTTGCACTTCAAGCCCCTTTGCACACATTTCCTTAATCTTTGTAGTAGGCAAATTCTTCAATTTCTCTCTCCCCTCCTCTGAACCAGTTTTCTCAGGTCTGGCCTCTTGCTCTTGAAGTTGATCTATCAGCTCATCAGTGGTTAGTTCTTCATTGTCCTCCTCCACCAAAATCTTCCACATCCTTCCCATAACCTCCAACCCCAAGGACTTTCCCAATGCCCAATGGATTCCTCAACTGGCATAATCCTCTCAGGGTTAGCCTCAAACCCCTTTAAAATCCCTTTTGTTACACATTCTGGCCAAGTTTCTTCAAGCAGGGGTTCAAGGTCTTCTTAGTCACTCCCCCCCAAGCCTTACCTATAAGGTTTACACAATTGAGGATATTAAAATGCTCTCTCCAAAACTTCTTTTGAGTCAGTTGAGTTTCTGAGGTCACACAAAGCACCTTTCAAACAGAGGGTTTTGTGTACAGTTTTTTTGAAGTTTGCAATAACCTGCTGGTCCATGGGCTGCAGGAGAGGAGTGGTATTAGGAGGCAAAAACTTGATGTTAATGAATTTCATGTCCCCATAAAGTCGCTCTGCCACGTCTGTAGGATGACCAGGGGCATTGTCTAACACCAGGAGGCACTTAAGTTCTAATTTCTTTTCAGTTAGGTAATCTTTCACATTGGGGGGAAATGCATGGTGTAACCAGTCATAGAAAAAGTCTCTAGTGACCCATGCCTTACTGTTTGCCCTCCACAGCACACACAAATTCTCCTTGAGGACATTCTTTTGCCTGAACGGTCTGGGAGTTTCAGAGTGATACACTAATAAAGGCTTAACTTTGCAATCACCACTAGCATTGGAACACATCAACAAAGTAAGCCTGTCTTTCATAGGCTTATGTCCTGGGAGTGCCTTTTCCTCCTGAGTAATGTAGGTCCTGCTTGGCATTTTCTTCCAAAACAGGCCTGTTTCTCACAATTAAACACTTGTTCAGGTTTCAGTCCTTCAGTCTCTATGTACTCCTTGAATTCATGCACATATTTTCAGACGCTTTTGTGGTCCGAACTGGCAGCCTCACCATGCCTTATCACACTATGTATGCCACTACGTTTCTTAAATCTCTCAAACCAACCTTTGCTGGCCTTAAATTCACTCACATCAGCATAGTTGCAGGCATTTTTTTAATTAAATCCTGATGCAACTTCCTAGCCTTTTCGCTTATGATCGCTTGAGAGATGCTATCTCCTGCTAGCTGTTTTTCATTTATCCACACCAATAAAGAGTCTCTCAACATCTTCCATCACTTGCGATCTTTGTTTCGAAAACACAGTTAAACCTTTGGCAAGAACAGCTTCCTTGATTGCCTTTCTGGTGCCGCAATAGTAGCGATGGTTGATTGGGGTTTCTTGTACAACCTGACCAGGTCGGCGATACGCACTCCACTTTCATACTTATCAATGATCTCTTTCTTCATTTCTATTGGAATTCGCACCCTTATTGGTGTAGGGTTGGCACTAGAAGCTTTCTTGGGGCCCATGGTCACTTATTTTCCAGAAACAGCACCGAAAACACTGTAATAATACGAAATATTCCGATTGTATGCTTGGATGTTACCGCGGAGGCTGGCTGGTAAACAATGGCACGGGCGGCACGTGAGGCTGGCTGAGGGCGCACATTGGACGCGTCTCGGACGAAAATCGGTGAGCGGGTTTTTAAGCGGTATGCGAGGCAAAATTTTTGCGATTAAAGCAAGCGGTATGCGGATTAATCGTTATGTGGTGCCATCGGTATGCGGGGGTCCACTGTATATTACTAAAGTGGAAAAGAGAAACTTTAATTTTTCTTTTTGCGTCACCCTGCCTTGGTGGGATACTGCCGGTTTGTTGAAAGAAGAAGATTTTCATCATTGTTAAAATTGTTAGGTGTAGTTGGTTCCCCATAAACAACATTAATGCTGTACTGAAAAATAGTTATAGGTTAATTGTTCAGAACTTAAAACCTATTTTTCCATAGAGCTGTTCTAAATGGACATACATTCCAGAGCCATAACATTCCATATCTAATTTCATTAATCATTTTATTTAGAATATTTACCCAGTATTTTACATTCAGCACTCTTCATTTTTACTCGTCAATAGTAATGAATATTGGTTAGATATTTTATTCAATATAGTAACATGTAAAAAACTAAGGAAACAACAAAGTCGATAATTGTCATACTTTGGCTGGCCAGGTGTCCATTTTCTTTGGACTTGGTGCTAGACATGTAAATTGAAATTTAACAATGGGGTGTCCTTCAAAATGTGCTCATTGTATTTCCCACTCCAAATCTGTTATTTTTTTCAATTTTATGAATGTCAATTTCAACATGCAACCTGTGCTTTTCCTGGTCCCTGATGCTAAAGGTTACCCTAGCCTGTGATACAGGAGTACCTGTACTTGCTAGTCTGGCCAACTACCCTCTAATATAATTTTGAGTGACATTTAAAAAGATAATGTTAAATAGGAAATACATGAGTAAGCTGTGTGTTGTTGCAATATTTACTAACAACCATAAAATCATTTTCCACAGCCATGCCCCCCACCCTCCACAGCTCTTACCATGGTGGACCTACATTTTTGGGGCCCCTGAAGCTTGAACTGTTATGGGGACTCCTTTGCAACCCCTTCTCATACAGTAGACCCGAGATTTTTAAACATTGTGGGCTAAAGTCACTTCTGGGGCCCCCTTCGGGATTAGGGGCCCCTGAAACTTAGGCTTGATCAGTTTCATAATGGATCCTTCCCTGGCTGTCAATACTCCTGCATATTGCAATAGTGAGTCAGTATTTGTTAGTCATTAATTGCTTCCAAATTGCCACTGTTGTAAAAGCAAAACATGAATTGGAACATTGTTAATAAGGAAAAATCATGAGTTGGAGACCTACTGTATATTTAATAACAATAATCCTTCAAAATGATAGCCGAGTTTTAACAATCATTCATACATCTCATATTTGTGAGAGGCAATATGAATTTGGAACAAAGAAAAACTTTTAAGAACATAGTTTTTTGTGTAGCTCATTATTTTACAGCTGTTCTGGACAAAATTATGTGATAAGTAACATATTCATGAAAACTGATGCTAAAACATCTCACATTGCACAAAAATCCATTAGCATAATTATTGTATTGTATTTTCTGACTATATAAAAGAGTCAAGTTATTGTTGAGTATGGCACAACACACCAATGGTAGTAATACATTTTGTATGCTTGTTATTGTTTAAATTTATACAAGACAACAATGGTGGTAAAAACCCCTTTCCCACCTGAGATTTTTGTTGAATATTCCCACAACATAACAAAAAACAAGCAGTCCCTTTCCATTGTCAATTATATTTTGAGCTTTGCAAAAAACACCAGTACTGTACTGGTCTGGAAATTTGGTCCCCTTTTCAACTTATGTTTTGAAAACCTTGCTAAATGGTATTGTTTATTTTTTAAAAATATTTTTTTCACTTTGTATTAAAGTCAGTTTAAACTTTTTTTTAATTAGGGCTAATAAAGATAAATTGCATACTTTTATTTTTTTTTCCCATAACAAAATGTAAATAACTTTGGAAAATTTTAAAACTTCCAATGCCCGTTATTAAGAAAATTTCCCTTTTTCAATGGTAGGGGGGGGGCCCCTTCCCAAGGAGGGGTTTTTTATTTTAAAGGGAAAAGGGGCCCTTTTAAAGTCTTCTTCCTCCAACTACCCTAATTGCCCCCCACTCCCCCCTTCACAAACCCCATTTTTTCCCAATCCCTTTTCCCACCCTACCTCCTTTCCAAATCCTTCTCCTTCCCCTTGTTTTGCTTTTGCCCTTTGGGGTTCTCCCCTCTGAAATTCTATTTTTCTGGGGTTGGAAAAAGGGGTGTTGTTGGGGCCCTTGGTGGGGGTTTGGTTTGCTGTGGAATCGGGAAATCTTTCCAAGGGGATGTCCCAAATTCCACCCTCCTGTTTTTGTGCCCCTTTGGATGATGGGTTTTCCCTTGGGGGGCTGCCCTGCCCAGTTCGGGGAAATAGTGGCAGAAGGGGGGTGTGCCTTGGGGCAGTTTTCTCCCCAAAATCCAGTGGGTGGCCGCTGGATTTAAAGGGTTTCTTTTCAGTTTCGCGGTTTAAACCCAGTGTAAAGGGTTTAGGGCAGGGGTTCATGCTACATCTTCACTAGGGCTATCCCGGGAGGGCCCCTTTGGGGAAATTTTTTGGGGATAAAAGGGGTCTCCCATGCCCATAAAATTTCCCCTCCCCCCAAAATTTCGTCCTTTCGGGTGGCATCCCTTATTGAACCGGGTTTTGGGCCGTCAGACAATTTTTTTGGGACCTGTCTTAAAATTTTGGGTTTATCTTCTCGGGGTAGCATTTTTTTTCCCTTTCCCCTCTGGTATTAGGGTTTCCCCGCCCTGCCCCAACCCTTTAAAAATTTCTGACATTTTGTACATCTATGACTATAAATTCCGGTTTTCCCCCCTTTGTGTTTTGGGTTTTTTTCGGACCCTACACACAATCAGGAGGGCTGCTGCGGCCCTTGATCTTTTAACGGGAACAACTTTCCTCGTTTCCTCTCACAAGCAAAAAAACGACCGCTAGGGCAATTTCTCCCTTTACACCAGTGTTTTAAAAAGCCCTTCAGGGACCAATTTTTTTCATTTCCAACAAAATTTACTGACTATTTTTCCCAACCACAGCATCGAAAGGGCACTCCTTCCCA